ATCCAGCCAAAGACCAAAGGAGGGATTGGACTTATTGACCCAAAAACACAGTGTCAGGCTTTGGCTCTTCAAGTTGTAAAACATTTAATCCTAACTACAGACATACCATGGCCTGTCTCTTATACACATCTAGATGTGTATAAGAGACAGCACACACACACACACTCCCCCCCCAACACACAGACAGACACACACACACACTCCCCCCCCAGCACACACAGACACAGACACACACACACACACACACACACACACACACACACACACACACACACACACACACACACWMTYCCCAGACAGGAGAACCAAGTGGGTGAGTGCACAGTGAGGTACAACACACATTCTGTTAAACACGGCTTGACGCAAGTAAAGCACAAGTCCAGTAGCACAAGTAAAACTTAGTAGAACAAGGTCAAACAGAATGAAAAATGAAAATTTCATTATTTCAAGGTCTTCCCAAAACTTCAATCTTGGCTGCACTCTCCTGCCGGTCGAAGACTGAGCGGCCAGATGATCATACCTAGCTCTCTGTACTGGTATCGCATACATCACTCTTCTTGCATTTTTTTGCTATCTACTTTCTGGCCAGCTTGCCTGCCCCCTTCTCTCGTTGAACTCATGAAGTAATTGCTCTGTCACAGTCCACCCGTCCTCTTGCGACGGCGCCTGGTTATTAAGGTGAGCTGTGCAGATTAGCTACGCACGCACATTGCCATGAAGATGAGGTTCATTCATTCTTTCTGTGCATTTTTATGAAGAGTTGTATCACACAGAAAAAGGTCATTGATTAACACAGACTGCTAATGGGGCCAGAGGTCATGCATGTGTAGGTCGAGCTTGAAGCTGCTGTTTCTCAGTTATTATGTGTCATAGTCATCTTCCTAGTCATCTTCCGGTTTCCGTCCCATGCTCTTTACCATGCATTCTGTGTATTTTACTTTTTTTTTTTTTTTTTGTCATCCTTGCGCAGGGGCCATGCTAATCTTCTCTGTATCGTTCCAATTTCAACGGATGTCCCGAAGGACTGTACTTTACTATTTTTATTTATGTATTTTTTTAAAAAGAGGTCCTTATGGGCCTGGAATCCCTGGATCCATATCGATTTGGGGGAGCGTCAGTCAGGTTTCCTCCTCCATCCACACGTCGTGAATTTACAAAAAAACTCACTCACGCTACCTTCCGCCCGTCCAAACGGCATGATTGATTGCTATACCATGAATGCTTCTTCTTTTTCCCTTTTTTTCCCCCTTCAAGTTTCAACTTCCGAGTTTTAAGTTTTAATTTTTAAGTCTTTTAATTTTTAACTTTTAAGTTTTAAGTTTACTAAAATTTTAAGTTTTAACTTTTAAGTTTCAAGTCATCTAGCTCATCTGGACTTGGAACCCAGGTCTATGTTTCAAATCTTCATGAGTGTGTCAACTGAGTCAACTGACATATGTAAAATATGAATGGATGAAATAAGAACGCTATATACGCCTATTACGCCCCAAAAAAAAAGAAAAAAAAAGGTAAATTTTGCAAAATAGCCCTGAAGGTTCACGTCATCACGTGTATGCTAAATTACCCCTAAAAGATGTGGGTAGAGCGAAACACCCCTCTGAAATTCCAAAAGTTTGTCAAATACCCTTTTGGATTTAAATTTTAAATCTTTGCAATCGACGCCTGTCAAGGGGTTGTGCAAGTTCTGCATTCTGCCCCTGACAGGGGTATAGCACAGACTGCACAACCTCCAGACAGGGGTATCCACTCTGCCCAGTGCCCACACCTTTTAGGCAAAGATTAGAATCCAAAAGGGCATTTCACAAACTTCTGAAATTTCAGGAGGGGTATTCCACTCTGCCCTCACCTTTTAGAACTTTCAGGTCTATTTTCTCAGAAACAAAAGGGATGCTATACCATGCATTCATATTTCGACATATTCTTTTAGTTCTGCCTCCCCATATGACCTATATATCGAGACAGTTAATGGAAGACCCAAAATTCGGGCTTTTTCGCTGCATCACTGCAAGCTATGTCGTCGAAAACTTTGCAAGCAAACTATGCAGGCTCATAATACAAACATTTAAAAACAAAACAGGCAAAAAAAAAACACGAAAAAAAAAATAAAACTCGAGAGAACTATAAAACCCGTCAACAAAAAATACAAGATCAATATATCGTACAGGACTCACGAGAGCGATCATTGCATGCAACAGACTCACAGAAGCCAGCCACTACTGCCAGCATCTATAATGCGAGATGATGATTGCGCGCAATAGAATAACACAGCCCAGTACCGACCGACACGATGACGCACAAATGGGAGAGGGGAAGGATTATGCATGCAACACGTTCGCATAATTAACCCCCCCCAAAAAATAAGAAAATAAAAAAAAATGGAGTGATAACACTGATCCGTTCAAAGCTCAAACCCTCCCGTGCAATGTCATCGAACTTTCAGCAGCCTTGCACCCGAAAGTTCGCTGACATTGCAACCGAAAGGGGTGTCCTTAGGATAAAATTCACAACGTCAATTTCAATTTCAAACAACATCTTCCAACTGGCCTACAGTCTTCACCCGAATAGAACGCCCAGTCATTACAGCCGTATTTGGTCCAATTTTCAGTCGAGATACAGCTATAATGACCAGGGGTTCTATTCGAGTGAAGACGGTAGCGCAGTTGCTACACCCCTGAGCTGTTGAATCTCGAAATGCGGACCTGAGTTCGAACTTCGCACTCCACAAGAAGCAAACAAAACCTCTTCTTTTTTTTTTTTTTTTTTTTTTTTTTAACAATAACTCGACAGATTAACTACAACTACGATTTCTTCTTGCAAATGTTCAGGAAGAAAGTTGAAGAAACACGGATGAACTTATCAAAACGGGAAGGAGAATAGTGGGAATCAACTAATCAAAACGGGAAGCAAGCCCACCACTTGAAAAGCCAATCAAGGAGGAGTATTGTTCTTCGGGACATCCATTGAAATTGGAACAATACAGAGAAAAGATTAGCATGGCCCCTGCACATGGATCACACGCATAAATCGAGAACTGGTCCGAAAAAAAAAAGAGCAGTATTCAGAGATGAAGAACAATGCCCCAAGTGAACTTCCCGATGCTGAAGCAAAAAAACGTGAAGCAGAAACAAAAAGAGGAATCAGACCATCGCTGTAACAAAAAGGACGAAAACGATGACGAGGAGGGACCTGCTCCCTTGTACCCCTGAAAATGGACAGTGATCTTCCGACAATGCATCCAAGAGGGCAACAGCATGCGAAATTGCGGACAGAGATAAGGCATTACCTCTGAATAACCCCACTATGGTTAAACTCCTTTACATGCTCCTATGAACAGCGACCCCTCGATAGAAACCTGTTTTGTGGGGGGACGAGGCAAGAGGGAGAGAGACGTGGAAAGCAGCGAGGGCGATGGAGGAGGTAAAGGAGTTGCGAAGGAGGAGAGATGGGAAGGTGGGGGGAGG